TAGGAACTTAGTAAACAGGGGGGATGCTTCCAATTAGCAGGAAGGTTCAGGGTGGAGTGAAGAGAAAAATGCATCTGTGGCATCGAGTACAGCATTCAAAGGTGCAAGTGGGTTCACAAAGAATGAATCATAACTTCAGCTATCATAACATGCCAGTTTCCTTTCTAGAACTGAACAGCCAATAGTTTGGGTCTGTCTCCAGATGCTCCTCAATCAGACCCAGTCCCAACTTGCTCCCTCTTGTGGCTGTGACCTTCATCTCTCCTGCCCTCAGTTCTCCCCTCTGTGAAGTGGCTAATTACTAAATAACTAAACTCCAAAGGGTACAGAGGCCCTTCACTCTGTCACACTCGGTGCTGCCACACGAACACTGCGAGGTGGTGCCAAAATTAAAGACCCTCTATAAATCGATGACAGCCATCGGCCCCAGCGCCCCTGGCGCTTTTCTCCTTCCCAGTGCACATGTTGCCTCACACCAGTAGGCCTTAAAAAGGCTCAGAGGCTGCACTTAGCACAGGCACGGGGAATGCATGTGACTCGAGTATGCTTCTGAAGGTGGCTCTCCCCAGGTCATCAGGTTTCAGTGCTCAGGGGTGTATGGGAAGAGTAACACCTTAACCTTCAAGCACAGGAAAATTTGCAAGAATTCCCAGTAGTCTGCTGTCAGTATTACCCAAGTGACACAGGAGTGCAGCCCACAAAACCCTGGGACAGGCAAAACACCACCACTGCTTAGTACTTAGTCACTAATACATCCCAGACCAAGGATTTATCTTGGAAGGGACTTTCGGAGGTCACCTAGTCCAATCTCCTGCTCAAGCAGGATTAATTCCCAAGTTGTTCATGCTAGGCAAAAGCAGTATTTAAATGGACACTATCCTCAAATGAGAGGCCTAACACAAAGATTGATATAACATTGACCACTTATAGCTGCACCAAAGCAGCGATAAAGAACTGTGCAGAGAAATCTCTCTCCCAGTTCCTACCCTGCTGCAGTGGCTCTATCTCATAGTTAGACTAATTTTTTAAAATCAGCATCACAGAGACACTTGGCCCCTCTCCATATATCTGTTAAAAGTTAGCACAGACCTCAGACAAGAGCTCAGAGTAAGATTCAGAAAGGGGTGAAGAATTTGTTAATCAAATATTCACTAAAATGACCCAATTTCTACTTCATTGAATAAGTCTGAGTACACAATAACCTGCTGCAGTAAACACTCTCTTCTCAAGGGCCCTTCAGTCTTACCGCATAAAATGCAACAGACTGACATCAAATTCCAATACTGCACAACAAAGAACTCTTCACCAGTTATAAACCTCTGGAAGTTATTTATCCACTGCACCATTTTGAAGTGCTAAAGCTATCACCTTCACTATTTTTTCTTCATATTAAAGAGCTAACTTATATTTACTGCAATTTTGAGTTGTTTTTGAATGGAGAAATTCTGGAAAACTTCATCCCAGCTAACAGAATTGGGCCACGTACAGTATTTTCGTCAAATGTGTGCAAACACATGAGTAGATCGCCTCAGGGAACTGATATAAAGCAAGGGCATCTTCCAGATAAGCAGAGCAGGATTACGTACTCACTTTGAATGAACATCAGGGCACAGAGTACGAAGAAAGGAAGACCTGTGTCCCCCCATCACACATTTCCAGCACCTCCCTTATGCTGGCTTTAGCACTTATGTAAATCAGACAGTTTTCAGCTAGATCAGTTCCCTGATCCAACTCAACCTGCAGCCACGTGAATGCTGGTGGCAAAACACAAGACTGGGACTTCTCCTTTCACTGCCAACCCAGGCTTATGTGGTGACAGTATCTCCAAAGAAACACAAGGAGATTTGGACAAGAAAAGGATCTCTTTCATTACAGCACAAACACCAACGTGCTTCACAAGAATGGTCTGCATGAATCTGCACTACTAACACGGCCACGGGAGCACTGAAAAGGTCTGTGTCTGAGCACTCAAGAGGCCAGTGCAACAGCTCTGACCAAGGTCTTATCAGTGGCGCATATCCTAAAAACCATTCCTACCCTGCCTGCATCCTAGGGTGAAGGTAATTTTAAAGAGTGCTGTTGCCTAGCAATCGAGTATTACTCTCCTTTTTAATCACAAGTTTGGAAGCTGACACCTGCTCCCTATATTCCCAAGACCTGTAGTCTCATAACCATTCAGCTATTTCTTTTCCTTCTTTCTGCTAGTAACTCATCCACAAAAACAGGCCCCATGGAAAACCAATGGATGTTGCAAAGCAAATGCTGAGGCCTACTACCCAAAAGCCTGCTGTCAAATACACAAAATAAACCAGGGAAAAATATTCTTCACTTTAATAGTAGTAGCCTGCTCTGCACAAACAGTGGGGACCAACATTACCTTTATCCTTCTAAAAGACCAAAACAGACATGCTCCAGGCACCATAAAGATTTGAACTGCATCTGTCATCCATCATTAAAACACAGGAAATAAACCCAAGATAGTATATGCAATGCAAATACCTAAACCCCTACTCTGCCACTGCAGGTTTATTTATAGACCAGCTGCCAGGGTGAACTACAAATGTGAACTATGGGACTCAATCCATTCACAGCTCTCCTCATAAAGGAAACAATGTGATTAAGGGCTGTGTGTTAAAAATACACAAGCTATTCATTACCAAGACATAACTGGCTTTACATTAATGACAGACAAATAGGCCAGGATTCACAAAGAGAAATTAAGTGGTTTTTAACTCTGTTTATGAATAGGATTAGCTATTAAACAGGATATTTATTGATCCAAGCTACCAACAGAAACTCATTATAGGTACATGTGTTAACAATTTGGAAGCAAAACAAACCTCATTTTCCAGACCACAATCAGGAATGGCAGATAAAAAGAGATCTGAATACCTTTAAAAGAAAACTTACTTTTGATATTTTAAGTATCCAGAAGTCCCAACTTTTGTAAAGTAATTATGGCACTTACTGTTTTAGTATTCAAACACCTAAAACCATCCTATATATTCATATTCACAGTACTGTACTAAAATAGGGAGGGATTATTCCCAGTGCACCCCCACAAAATTAAGCTACGGAGAGGACAATTGCCTGTGTGAAGTCAAAGGAAATGAGCTGCAGAGCAGGTACTGGATTAACCCCAGAGGCTCTGCTCAGGTGTGATCTGTGGGGCTCAAGGTGAAGCCCAGAAAGGTCCCTCTCTGCCTTTGGAATTACATATGAATTCAGAGAACTAGCCACACTCCCATACCTTAATGCTGCTCACAAATGTATCTTTACTAGTTTTAGAAGTACTGAGGTCTCAAGAACAGGACAATGGTGGAAAGCCACAAGCTCAGTTCTGTTCCCGGTGCTGACCTATGTGACCAGGAACCAACCACCAAGGTGCCCAGATAGCAGTAACCATGTTGGGGGGAGCTGGGGCAGGAAGAATGACACAAACAAGAAGGAAGAGAAGGTGAGCAGCTGTGGCTCAACCATTAAAAAAAGTCAAGAACCACAGACCTAGGCTAGTTGTTCACAGAACAAAGAGCAGTAGTGGCTCTGGGCCTTCCTGATAAAGCTACACCTAATAATGACAGAGTTCAGGCTTACAAGGAATCTGACCTGGAGAGAAAGGCATGTTTGCATCACAAGGCAGTACAGAGCTACCTGCAGCTTTGCTGACACAAGCCTCGTTTCTCACTCAGAAACTTCCCTAAACTCGGTTTCTCTCCTTCCAAACAAGACCCTCCCAGGTGAACCTGGAGAACTCTCGAACCAGGTAAGTGAAGACAGCTCAGATGAGCATCTCTCTACTGCTGTTAAAAAGGCTGGCTGCCCACCTGCTTTTACTATAGAATTATTCACACTTGTAAGAAATCTGGCATGCGCTCTTCTCCCTCAAATTGCCTCCCCTTAGTCACAGGACCCCCAAAGGAGCTTTTTGGAGAACAACCAGCAAAGCACAAAGTAGTGCCCACACTTCCCGAGTCCCCATGACACAACGTGAGTAAATGCCACACTTGTCAGGACACAGGAATTTCGGTCCTAACTTTGCTGCATGACTACTCGTACCCACACAAGCCTAACTCCAGCAGTGCAGCCCCACATGAATTCTGAGCAAAGAAACTCTACTCTCTGAAGGACAAACGAGCAGGAGTTTCAGAATTGGGTTTTCCTCCTCCCTCCCCCAAGCCATACTGCTAGGGCGTGGACTGCAGCCCAAGGGAGCACAAGGTGCTGTTCTCAGTCACGCCATCTGCAGAGTGCAAGCGACACAAAGGCTCCACGCTCGGCACAGCCCAGGCTCCGGCTCCCAGCTGCTTTCGCACGGTGTCACCACTCCGCTGCGTCACGTGCCACTCAAACTTGCCCCATGCATCTTCGGGGACAGAGTTTCTCAATCCCTTCAGAGCAGCAGCCCACGCTTAGGGTTTACACGTTCCAGGCCCTGTGCACAGAGCATCAGGGACACCCCGCAAGAAGCTCCCGACGAGGGGCGGGCGGCAGGGCCGGGACGCGGGGACAGGTAGGGCCCGGCCAGCCCCGGCGCCGCAGAGCATACAGGCGAGCACGGCCACGGCACAGCCCCAGCGCCCGGGGGCTGAGAGGGGCTGTCCGCGCCCCGAGAGGCGCGACCGCAGGGCCGGGTGAGGGCCTGGCGCCAGCGCCGGAGGAAGGCCAGCGGGCCGGGCCACGCGGGCCCAGCATTGCCCCGTCGCTGGGCCCTCCCTTCTCCCGGGTACCGGCCCTGCTAGGCGCTACAGCACCACAGCGCGCTGCGCTGCACTTCGTTCCCACCGTCCCGTCCCGTCCCGTCCCGTCCCGTCCCGTCGTTCCCGGGGTCGCCGCGCGCACCTCTGGCGGGAGCGCGCGCCCTGCCGCTGACCGCAGCCCGCCGCGCGCACGCGCGGCACCGCCCCCCGCGGCGCTGCAGGGCCGGCGGCTGCGGGTCCCGCCCCCGCCGGGGCCCCGCCCCGCCGAGCGCAGCCGAGCCCCGCCGGACCGAGCCGAGCCGAGCCCCGCCGGACCCAGCCTAGCGCAGCCAGGCAGTCGCCGCTCGCTGCCGAGCGCGGCGGAGGGCAGCGCGGTACCGCAGCGCCCGGCCCAGGGGGAGCCTGTCCGCGCCTGACACGGCCGCCGGTAAGCGAGCGGGGACCTGCGGCACGGCGGGGGGACGCGGCGGGGGGACGCGGCGGCCGCGGCTTCTCTAGGCCCGGCGGGTGCTTGCCGGGGGGGGCGGTCGTGGCGCCGAGGCCGGGCCGGGCCGGGCCCCGGAGGCGATGTGCGGAGCCCTTGTCGGGGGCGGCGGGGCGGGGGGCGCCGCTGCCATCTTGGGGCGGAGCGGGGCGGGGGGCGCGCCTGGTGCGGCGCCCGTGCGGCGGCCTGGCCTCCCCCACCCGTCCCCCAGGGCCCGCCGGGGCTTCTTTCCGCCTCACAGGCGCCCGTCCTTTGCCGTCCCTCTGCTCCGCGGCTGCTGGGTACTGTGGTTTGAGCACCCCGGGGGTCACCGACCCCCTTCCCGCGGGGCGGCACCGGCCCCGTCTCGCCTGCGCTCGCCGCTTTTGTGCGTGCTCGGCTCGGGGAGCTGCTGCCCCCCCCCCCTGCCGCTCGTCCGGGCGCCGCTGCCATGGCGAGCAGCAGCGAGGCAGCAGGGATGTTTCGAGGGTTGGAGTGTCGAGCCGGTTTCTGATACCGCCCTGCTGCTTCTACCCTGGAATACTTGGCGAAGGGCTGTCGGAGGGGGTTCGTGTCCCTGGCCAGGCAGCCAAGCAGCCCCTTTCTGCTCTTGTCTCGATTGCCAGCCCCTCCACATCAGCAAACCATGTTTTTATCTCCTGTCCTAGAGTGCGCCCTGTATGTAGCTACCTGCTGAAGAAGGCATCACGCCAAAAATCTGCAAGGTGGCTGCAGTCAACCTGGTGTCCATAGAAGGTTTGGTAGCTCTCAGCTGGATGGAGACCATGTGCTTTGGGGTTCTGAAGGGTTGCATGGCACAAGTGCTCCTTGGATGATCCTGCAGATGCCCCACCTGAGTGTGGGACAGAGCCTTTGCAAGTGTATTGCAGGAACCAGTACCCTCCCCTCCAAACACTCGTGCTGTATGGTCCCTAATAGCTTTATATTCTCTTAACGCTTCTGAGAGAGTGGAAAGCCAACCACTCGGCTCCTAACTGACTCCAGGAGGACTCTGTTCAGGCCAGAAATAGCAAAGCATTAAGGACTGCTTCTAATGACTGCAATTAGCTGGTGTCTACCTAGGAAAGGCCTTTTTCCTCTCGAGCCTTTTAGTAGTAGGAATACACTATCTTTATGGGGAGAGAAGTCCATTCTACAGTCTTCGCCTGGATACCATAAGAGCAAAATAAACATGAAAGAAGATGCCTTTGAGGGGGTTGGGAAGAGGCTCTGGTTTGGCTCATAAGTATGTTTTGTTGCACTAAGTTTGCTCTATTTTTGTCTGTTCCTGTCTTCAATAACCTTGGAAGGAACTGAAGCTACTGTATTTTCTGAGGGTGTCGGTTTTCTTGTCAAGAAGACATTGCCGTGAGGCTTTGCAATGCTCAATTTTTTTGCCCTTTGACCAGAATACAGTGTGACTATCCTGAACTGTCCTGGAGCCATGAGTTGAGCCAAGAAAAGAAAAATACTGAGTGTGCTTTGCTTCTTGTTTGTTTGAGTTTCTAAAATTTTTTTCTTTCTGGGTTTTTAAAATATCCTTGGTTATATTTTTTAGCTTTCTTCAGCAACAGAGTGGACTAGGAACTTGCTGGGAGGGTTTTCTAATACTGTTTTTGTAAAAAATCTTCATGACATTATTTCATTCTTGGAACTAGAACTGTCAGAAAATCCCAGGTAGCATAAGGTTTGCAATAAAAGCCTGAGAGCTGGCAGTGCCAAGGCCCTGCTTTTTGTCTGTTGCTAGTTACACTTTCCCTGAGCCTCCGATCATGATGAGCCTTGCAGCGTCCTGCCAGCGTCTCCTCTGACACCCTCCTGTCCATACTGTCCTCTGACACTCTCCTGCCAGCCTGCATCCTTCCTATAAGTGCCCCATCCTGGCAGCCAGGGTGAGGCTGTATGCTGAAGTCCCAAGGACTCCGCAGGCAGCACCTCCCGCTCCCAGGAAAGGCAGCTGCAACCTGCGTTGTCTGACGTGAAGCATGCGCAGCCGTGGGGTGCCGGCTTCGTGAGGGAGGAGGCCCTGCATGTAGGATATTCTGTGTGCGCTGCTAATTGCAGACAGTGCTGGTTATGGATACTGTGCATGATTTGCATATCAAAGCATCTGAGAGCTCTGCCATGGGTAGGGATGGGCAAGGATGATAAGGATTGCTGGAAGCTGGGGCCAGATCTTCCCCGAGGCTTTTTTTGGTAGGCTGATGAGGCAAGACGAACAGAATGTTTGGAAAATGGAGTTTGTCTCCGTGTCCTTGAGTGACAGCACTGTAAAGGCTTTTTTAATCTAGGTGCTCCTCTTCAGGGGTTGGGAACCAAGCAGTTCTTGGTGGCAGGGTACTCTGCTTCCTGCTCCTCCTGCCACTGAGAGCTTGCTGGGCAGCCCACAGTGTTGAGCCTGGGAGCCATCCCCTCTCCCAGTGGGTCCTGCAGCAACTGGCCAATGTGCCAAGCCTGCTGCCTCTTCTCCATGCTACCTTTCACACAAGGAGACAGAGGCCCAACTTGGAGCTTTGAAGCAAAGGAGCAGGTTTGTTACTGGCTGAACTGGCTCTGCAGGGTCCCAGGCCTTGCCTGATGGCTCAAAAGGCATTGAGGGGGGGACAGGCAGCGGCAGAGCCCCGAATGGGCCATGGCTTCTGAGATGCTGCGTGAGTCAGAGGAAGGTTTGCCTATGCCTGGTCTCAACACAGCTGTCTGCTGTTCCTCCTTATTCTGGAAATGAACCTGGGGAGCTTGGAGCTTGCTTGTATGCTGCAAACTGAAATGCAGATTTCCAGGAAGGGAGAGAGGTGGGAGGGAGTCCCTGCATCCCTCGGCCACTTTGATCTTAGCAAGTTCTGATGCTCTTGCTCTGAAGGACCACACTGTGGGGCAGCTGGCCTCTCTGAAGGTAGCTCTTCGTTCATTGTGGGAGTGCCTGCTGGCTGGAACTGTAGCCCTCGCCCTGTCTCCTGTGCCTTGTGCAGCTCAGGCTGTTGCTGGGAAGGACTGCTCACCTCTCTATCCATATGGGGACTTGATTTGTGCAGGAGCTGCCTTGAGCATGGCCTTCTTGGGAGTCAGCTCTCTGCCTGCAGCCTTCATCCTGTCAGCAGCCCTCTGGCTTGTTCAGGGTAATGAGTTAGGGGGCAGGCCTGATGCATTGCCTAGAAAGTTGGTTAAAAGGAGAAAAACAAAAATCAAGAAAGGAAAAAGAAACGCACACGTGTGTACGCACTCTGCAACAGAAAGAGGGTGAGATGCGTGAAGTCGGTGCCAAGCTTGTAGAGCAAAGGCTTGCAGTATGAAATGGCTTTTCTCTGAGTCTGCAGGCCTGTGGTTGGCACTGCCTTCTCTCTTCATGTCCTTCCAGCATGGAGCTGGGTGTCTGCCCTCTGCTCCAAATACAGATTAGCTGCAGGAAGCCCAAGACTCGCTTGCTTGTGAGATGCTTGTGAGACGCTTGTGAGACTTACCTGTGAGATGCAGAACCTTTTCCTCCACGTTTTTCTGCACAGCGCTTGCTGCCCATTATAGGGTTGTCTTTGCATGCTCCCTATGTGTTCCCAGCACAGTGCTAAGCAGTGCTGGAAAGGCTTCTGTTCTCCCCATGGCTCTTGCATGTTGGTGTTGCCTGCCTGCCATTCTTCCTCCTGTTTTCGAGTCCCTTCCTCCCCGCCTTCATAAAGCCAGGCCAGGGAGTGGAAAAGCTTTCCCAGTGTCTCAGTGCTCTTCTCAGGCCAAACTCTTAGAGTGGCTACACAGCTTATGTGAGCAAGATAGGGCTACGCTGGCATAGCCCACTGCATCTTTGAGCAAAATCTCCTGTTCGTGATGTACTTTGGTGTAATTGTTGATGCCAGCAGCCTTTGCCCTCATGGTTATTGTGCCGGGAAGAGAGAGAGGTCTTGTTTTATGCATGCTGTTTTTCCCCAGAGAAATTAGCAGTTGGTAGTACAGGTCTGGCTTAAAGCAAGGTTTCGAAGATTCCCATTTGTGTTGGCTGTTTGTGCTATTGCGTTAAAGAAAAGGGCTGGATCTCTTAAGGGACTGTGTTTGAAAGGTGGCACATTGCATCAGCACAAGAGAAAGCAGTCACAGGCAGGATTCGTGCTGCCTGTTTTCAGTATGTTCTGCAGTTGATTTCCTGAACCACCACAGCCATGCTACCTCTGAGTAGCAAGCTGAAAAATCTCCCTGCCTTTCTCTGTCTGGAAGAGTGGCTACTGCAGACCTTTCCTGTCCTTCTGTTCCCTCTCACCTCCTAGAAGGACTGTATGCTGCCAGAGCTACTTATATCCCTTCCTTGGATGTGCTCATCCCCTCTGCACCCCTGTAATTCTGTGTTCAGAGCAGTTGCTTGCTCTGACACCCTCTTCCCTTTCCCCTAGGGATGTTGTCACTTGTTTCTGTGCAGGTCTCTGTTCCCAGCTCAGTGCAGAGCATCACCCTGCAGACACCCAGCTGCCACCAGCGATGTGACCTCTGGCTGTGTCACGCCGACAAGGAGACCATGTGGTATTGCCTGTGGGGAGATGATGTGCTCTCTCCTGTTGACCAGCATGGAAGAACTGCTCTGACAGGCTCCCTTAAATCATCCAACTGTCTCCTGATGTGTTGCTGACATGGGTCAGGGGGAAGAATGCTACTCTTACAAGTGCAGTTTCGCATGAGAGTGCACTTAGTAGGAGAGTTGGCCTGGCCCTGCTTTTGCCAATTAAACAGTGGCTTTTAGTAGACTCTGTTGTGAGTCCCTTCAAAGTGGGGGGACGAATCTTGGCATAATCTTGTACTTAGAGGAAACTCAGATGGCAGCAGGCCTTGTCTTCTCCTTGAAATGATTATCAACATTTGATGTCTTCTGCTGGAGAGTAGAGAGTACTCGGCAGTGAACCAGACTGGGGATGGTCTCTGTAGATGGCCTCAGGATACTTGGGCTCTTGTGCCAAAAACTTAGTGCCTTTGGGGGTCCCAAGGACGAT